TGTTTGAAGGACTTTAGTTGACTAAATCTTAAGATTTATAACGGGCCCTCGAGCTAGCCGAACATGTACCGCGGAGACGCATCGACATCTGGCAATCATCTTACTCGAAGAATAGGGTCTGCGTGTGGCGAGAACACGGGACAAAAACCGTTGGAATGTTTACTGTCGCGTGTCGCCACGAATATTTCTTTTAAGGAGAGCTATAGAATTACTCCATACCTTTGTTAGACAAAGCGTTCATCCCGTAACCGCGGCTACGTTCGGTGACTGACTGTCGCCTCGAGCCCAAGCTCACTATCACAACTCTCGAACAATTACAATCGGATTGAATAACTACAATTGTTCAATTACAGACTCCGGTGTTCTTTCATCTCCGACATACTTATGTTGCAAAAAATCTGGAGTAAACATATAGAATTTATTCCTGAACATGATTTTTATATGATCCCATAATAAAATTTCAGGTATCATTTTTTATTGGATTCGAGACTAATTTGATTGAACTATTATTATTATGGGATCATTCGATCATTTCGATCATTCGTTTCTTGATCTACAGTAACTTACGAACGTACTTTAACACTCACAACCGTAAACTTTCACATAGTATACAGGAGTCTGTAGATAAAGAACGCGTCGTTTCCCAAATTTAAGATTTAATATTTCATCCCGATCGGCTACTGAGGCCATTCAGAACGATAGTCCAAAAATTGATATAATAATATTTGGAAAAAGGTTTAGTCTGACTGGATACAAAATGGAGAAAAAATTAAATTTTTTTACGCTTGCTGCTACCTCTACACTTACGCCTACGTTGCAATTTTGTTTCTAAACGCGTTTAATCAAAATTATATGTATGAACACTCATTATAAGAAAGGAATCATTTATCTAGCTTTAGTTGTTTTAATGCACTCGTGTAACAGTGCTATTTTTGGTGTTTGTGTTTGTGTATGCGCGCGTTCATGATCATTACTCCATGCATTACATTTATTACACGATAAATATTGGATAACTGATTCAAAAAGTGAAAGTCTCGAACCATTGGACTATTCGCAAAAACGCTAACGAAACATGCGATTGAAACAAATGTTGCAAAGTTTCGAAAAATCGTAACTGATAAGACAAAGAACAATGGAACGGTTGCTTTTGAGGGAAGTAATAAAAGAGTTCGACGATCAACGATTTTGATCTTGCCGATGCAAAGATTAAAGCGATTCTGAAATTCTGTCAAAACGATGAGAGAGTGGATGGTTCGGTAACTTAAGCAATTCTAAACTATTCGAAGAACGAAATGATCTGACCTTGCTCGTGTCACGTAAACTTAAGGGTTGGTTGATGAAATAAAATAGCTGAGTCGTAACACAACTATTAATTTTGTTTTAATTAAACTTTATTATGAATTCAGCAATCACAATGTAATACACACTGAATTAACATAAATCACAATTCACTCCAACCACGTTATGTAAGACTTAGTTACACTGATACGTTAAGTACGCCACTGTTATAAGGGTAGAGACCGATAAAGATATGTTGACTATTCTAAGGATACAGAATAAGTGAGTCTTACTGACGATACTGTCTCCGAGGAAGGCTAGGGGTGGATGTGTCTAAGGACACGGGACTACCGGATTTGTTGATGACGATTTTGGTTAAGAAAGTGAGGGCAGTAGACACCGTCCCCGATTGGATAGTAAGACGGTTGGTGGACCCCCGATTGGATAGTAAGACGGTTGGTGGATCAGGAAGGGTTTCAGCCGTCCTCGCGAGAAAGTTGCTAACGGAACATACCAGATGTGAAAAAAACCAACTTTCTATGCTAACACGTGGTAGATAATAAACGTAAAGGAAATCTAAGACAAGAAATACTCGCTTGGTCCGAAGGACCTTAACTATGAGAATTCCAAGACCTCTGGTGGGTACTTAAGACTATCGAGGGTACGGTGCCAAGGATGTGCAGACATCTGGGTGCCGTCCTGTCCGCGGCGTGTGGCCTGGTCTCTGATGTAAATTGACGTTACACTTCACTCCATTGACAATGCAGCATGGCTCAAGGTGAAGTCCAAAAAATATGCATGTTGATCTGTTTTCACAGAATATAAGAAAGACAATGAGTATGCTCGAGCTCTTCTAGTGGAAAGAAGATAGATTATGAGGTACCTTGACGAAGCGAGGCTTCGAAGCTATTAGGTAAGTATTGCGAAAATTCCTCCGGGTAATCCTCGGTCGATCGGATCATTGCATTTGGCTAATTAATTTTCCAAATTAACTGCATTTACAACGAGTATTGAAAACACGATGGAGACAGAAAATACAAAGCATTATTATAACTACTGGTACAAGTCTTTCGAACTGCCGGGTCAAAAAATATGTTTTTGTCTCTGAAAGCGGACATTGTATACGTGAGCCCGCGCGCGTATGTGCGGTAAGCGTATTTTACTCTGGAAAAAATGATCGAAATGATTTGTAGGAGGTGTAGTTGGAGCTAGGTGAAAAGGGAATGAGGAGCGTTTCGTCCCGGGACTACCGGTGGACTCATCAGTAAGGCTATGCCCGGTAGTCCCTGCCTTAGACGTAGAGGGAGTCTCGCTAGGTGCGGTATTTGTATCGTGTGCCCATATATTCGACCGCTAGCGAGATAGACAGACTCATTGTCGTCGTAATAGCCCTCTGGTGTTGACAGTTGGTACATACAGATCGCCCGGGAGGTGTTGCGTCGCGTTGATGCCTCGACCTGTCGGCGTTCTGTTGATACCGATCCGCCACAGATTGAAATGTAAACTGAACTCAGCTACCATTCGTGTGTTGTTAACTTATAATAAACTTAATTTAACCTAATCTTTTCATTTACTATTGAGAATCTATATATATGTCGGAGATGAAAGGGCACCGGGGTCTTCCATTGGAATTCTTCGGAAAATCGACAATATTTTAGCGTCTATAACTTAACTCGATTATAATTGTTCGAGATTTGTGATAATGAGCTTGGGCTCGAGGCGACAACAAGACTTTATCTAACATAGGTAATGGAGTAATTCTATAGCTCTCCTTAAAAGAAATATTTGTAGCGGCACGCGACAGTAAACATTCCAACGGTTTCTGTCTGTGGCTCGCCACACGCAGACCCTATTCTTCGGGTAAGATAATTACCAGATGTCGACGCATCTCCACAGTACATGTTCAGCTAGCCTGAGGACCCGTTATAAATCTGAAGATTTAGTTAACTAAAGCCCTTCAAACAGACAAACACTCTTTGTACCAACTACGGGAAGACAGGGGAAATTTATTTTTTCAACGAACGACGCTTCCCGCTAGCAACCTTCCCTCAAGGATGGCTAGCATCCTTTTCTAACCACCAACATGGGAATTTTTTTTTTATTTAGTTGTTTACATTTACAATTTGTCCGATTTGGACATTTGGTAGAAACAACATGGAAATTGACCAATTAACAGCAACGTCAATTTTCCTCACTTTCCGAACT